ATATCAAAGATATAAATTACTCAGCTTTCAACTACCAAAGTCAAAAGGTGATTATCCTTAGTGAGAGATTAATTGTAAAAACCAGTTTTGTCAAGAGAGCACAGATATTTACATAATTAGTAAAAAGGACACAAGTGCTATCATGATACTCCTCTAAAAAGTATCTAATTGCTCCCAGTTTCACTCAGAGTACATTAGTTTTCTAATACTGCCAAATCAAATTATCATAAACTTAGTGGCCTAAAACACTTATCTTGTAGTCACCACAGGTCTGAAGTCCAGCGAGCTCAGGTGAGTCTCTGCTTAGTCTTACAAGGCCGAATCAAGAAGTCAGCAAGCATGTGTTCCTTTCTGGAGGTTCTAGGAGAGAATTATTTCCTTGCACATTCAGGTGGCTGCCAGAATTTGGTAACTGTTTCCTTGCTGGCTGACAGCTAAGAACTCTTCTCAGATTCCAGAGGACCACCTGAATAATCAGTGATACTCTGCCCATCTCAAGGTCCATACCCTTTCATTTGCTTGGTTGGTTGGTTGGTTTTTTAAACTGAAGTATAATTGGCAGAGAACACTGTATTAGTTTCAGGTGTACAACACAATGATTCATTATTTGTACTGCGACAGGATCACAAGTCTAGTCAACATCCATCACCACACATAAGCAAAATTGTTTCTTGCAGTAACTTTTTAAGGTCTACTCTCAGCAACTTTCAAATATGCAATACAGTATTACTAACTGTAGTCCCCATGCTGTACATTACATGCCCATGACTTATTTTATAACTGGGGATTTATACCTTTTGACCCCCTTCATCCATTTTTGCCTTCCCACACCCCACCTCCAGCAACCACCAATCTTTTTCTCTGAATCTATGAGTTTTGGTTTCTTGATGGTTTGGGTTTCTTGATGGTTTTTGGTTTTTGGTTTTTGTTTCTTGATAGTTTTTTATTTTTACATTCCACAAATAAATGATATCATACATTATGTGTCTTTCCCATCTGACTTCTCTCAGCACAATGCCCTCGATTCCATCCATTTTGTCACAAATGACAAAATTTCATTCTATTTATGGCTGAATAATATTCCATTATACATATATATATGTATGTATGTATATGCATGTGGGTGGTGTGTGTGTGTGTGTGTGTGTGTGTATCCCTTACAATTTCTTTACCCATTCATCTATGGACACTAAAGTTGTTTCCACATCCTAGCTGTTGTACATAATGTTGCAATGCATATAGTGGTGCATATCTTTTCAAGTTAGTGTTTTTGTTTTCTTCAGATAAATATCCATAAGTGGAATTGCTGGATCACATGGTAGTTCTATTTTTAATTTTGGGAGGAAGCTCTATACTGTTTTCCATAGTGGCTGCACCAACTTAACATTCCTGCCAACAGTGCACAAGGGTTGCCTTTTCTCCACATTCTTGCCAAAACCTGTTTTGCTTTGTTTTTGTCTCTTTGATAATAGCCCTTCTAACAGGTGTGAGGTGATACCTCACTGTAGTTTTATTTGCATTTCCCTGATGGTTAGTGATGCTGAGCATCTTTTCTTGTTTATCTGTTGTCAAGTCTATACTCTTGATCATATCTGCATAGTTCCCCTTGCCATATAACATATTCACAAGTTCTGGGGTAGGACGACATCTTTGGGGACCACAGAAAGTAAAAGGGAAAGTCCTTATAAAGGTCTAGATCTTATGTGATCTAAACCACCACTACCTCTGATCTCTTTTCCTTTCTCTTGCTCATGCAACCCTAGCTTCCTCCATGCTGTTCCTTGAACACACTAAGCCAACTCCTGCCTTTGTCCTTGCTGTTCCCTCTGCCAGAGGTTCTTCCACAGATTCCATTCTAAAACCTCATCCCTGTAAATACTTTGCTCTAATCTCACCTTCTTAATGGGGCCTACCATGGGTGCCCTGTTTAATACTCAAGTAATTCTGTTTATCCCATAGCACCTATTACCCTTTAACTTACTCTTTAACTTATTTACTATGATTATTTCCTGCTGTCTCTTTCTGCTGGAATATTAGATCCACAAGAGTGTCTTTATTCCTCTGATATATCCCAAGGCTCTAGTACACATCAGGAGATCAATAAATATTACTTGAATTGGCTGTTAAACAAAGTTTTCTAAATATTGACTGATAGATGGTATTACAGGTATATGTTCTATGTTCTTTTTGAAGGTCATGTAAACTGCCACAGAGCTGCCTGAAATACTGAATCAGTTCCTTGCTTCTTACTAGTTTCTCCTTTTTAAATCAATGACATTATTCAATGTTTCCATATTTTAATTCATCAAGGTCAATATTCCTTTTATTCTGGCTCAAAAGAAAACTTTGAAAAAAAATGAGTTATTTATACCTGTCCATTCCCTCTAAAAAATTTTTTTTGATCTTCTGTGATAAAGAGGTAGAGTAAGACTAACATCAGGCCTCAGAAAAAGGCAAAAAGAAAAAAGATGTAATAAAGTTGTCATTATTTCCAAAAGCTTAAATACAGCAATGGCTTTTTATCTCGGATTCTCCAGCTTCCGTTTTTAAAGTTTATTGTAAAACTTTTCATTTTGGACATTTCCAACAGTTACCACAAGATGGAGGCACATCTGTAGCTTGAGTTAAATGTTTCTGAAATATTAGGAACATGAATAATGTTTTCAACTACTTAAATTCCACTTCAAATTACGCCTTAAAAACCACTTCTGCAAGACTTCACTGCTACTTAGAAGAAACAGCCAGGAAGAGACAGATGGTTTAAATTTGTAAAATATCTCTACTGATCAATCAAGAAATAACCTGGTAACTTAAGATATGACCCAAAGGCTCCAAAGTCACCAGTTTCACTGATCCATCTCAGAAAAAAAGTTCTCAGGCCCTCCCCAGTGTCAGTGACACTACTCCAGCACACACTGCCCTGAGCTTTCTCACAGACTGCAGAAACTTCGAGTTAAAGCATGCATAGTTGTCCTCTGGTCAGAGATGCCTTTTGTCCCAAGAGCTTCCCTATGCCTGAACCTAGATACTAAGTACTAGCCCGAACAAATTATATGAAGACTTAAGCAAACTTTAATGATGTTTAAATACTCACAATTAACAAACATGCACAGTGATGTGTTGAGATGATCCTTTGTATACAATAAATTTTTAAAAACTTTATAGGGCCAAAAATAACTCATTTGTTTTATGTTGTTCTTAATACTTTCTCTTCAAATATTCTTTCACACAGTAGGTATTTCCAGTGCTGCAATTGGAACCCAGGTGATTCATTTAAAACACTTCTCAACCTCACTGTATCTTAAACTTAATGATTTAAAAATCAAATAGCTTAAATATTAAAGAAAATGCACTGTAATTCCACAATGGTGCATTCTCAAGAATCTTGTTTCTGCCCAATTGTTATCAGCAAACATCTATGTGATTTTAGGCAAGATATTTATATGTTCTGTGTTCTTACCTTCTGCTCCAGATGCTGCATAACCTACCTCCCTAAAACTTAGTAGCATGAAACCACCACTGTATTTTTTTATATCTCACGATCTTGTGAATCAGGAATTCAAGCAAGTCTTGGCTGGGTAACTCTGTTCCACATGATAGGAATGGGCTCTTGGTGATATCGAGCTGGCAGCTGGGCTGTGCTGAAGGGTCTGTCACAGCCTCACTCACATAATTGCTGCCTTGGTCAACTAGAAGGCTTAGTTTAGCTGAGTCCTTCTCCAGGCCCTTCTCACGCCCTTTCCATCTCTCTCCCACAGGGTAATGCATCTTCTTACCTGACAGATCAGGACTTCAAGAGACCATGGTGGAAGCTGCTGGTCCTCTAACAGGCTAGTTACAAGGGGACTGATGCCATGCCAGTTCCAGAACTGACATATAGTTGGTAACAAAACCATTGTTCTCCACCTGCAAAAACATCCAACAACTCAGCCCACACACAGTGTCCTCTCATGCGGGACCAAAGGGAGTGGATAGAGGGCCCTTATACCAAATCTTCACTATATACCCTCTCCTCAAAAATCCATTGTGGCTTCAAATGCTATTTATTTCAATGTACATAATACTCAAATTTTAATGACAGCCTCCTGAGAAATAACTTATACTAAGGGAAGATTAAGCCAAGTAGACACATTTGGCCTATTATCAAAAACAATTTTGAGTACATATGATGTTGCCATTTAAATTGGTGCTGATACGTCATCCCTCGTGAATTCAGATCTGAGTGCTAAGAGCTTGTGAAGAGGGATGGAAGTGAAGATGGGTATTTTTTTTTTTGAAAACTGAAAGAGACTGGTTTAAGATAACAGCCCAAAAAACACTTTCTTAATCTCCGTCTCGGTAGCCAACATAAATAACTACAGGAAATACCATAATAAACTTAATATCAAAGACAAAAAGAGCAATCATTACCTAAGAATTTTAGCAAATTTCTACAAGACAGTAAACGTGGGAAAGGGAGGCAGGTACAATAGACCTAAGTATACAAGTGAATGGACTTCAGTGACCATGGAAACAAGACTTCATAGCAGAACTTTGCTGTGCACATTATTTCTTCTTAGCATCAAATTCACCCTTCCTTACCCTAGTTTGTGACACTGGAACTAAGTCCTGCAGACTACATTTCTCCTTTTCAGCAAATTTGATACTGGATTTTGCCAACA